GCGTCCCATGCCTGATGAAGGGGTCCTGCGAGACTCAAAGCGTCCCATGCCTGATGAAGGGGTCCTGCGAGACTCAGAAGCGTCCCATCTGATGAAGGGGTCCTGCGAGTGAAGTGTCACATCTGATCACATAGTCACAGCAAGGCAACGTTTCAGAGTCTCGCAGGACCCCTTCATCAGGCATGTGACAAATTGTGAGAGAAACTAGAGAACTATTTAAGAAAACCATCCACCAATCAGAGTGAAGTGAAATGAGCTTGGCCCCGCCCCATGATGTCATGTTCCCTTCAAAAATGTATTCAAATCAATGGAAACAGAAACATTACAAACTGAGAAAATAAATAAAACAATCATCAGATGTACATAAACTGCATTCCCGGGGATATAAACATGGTGGTCACATGTGGATCATGGTACTCCCCGGATTGGAATAAAGTGTCAGCTGAAAGCAGCGCTGGGTTCTGGAAACAACGACCAGCAGCATATACAGTTGTGTCCAAAATTATTCAACCCCCACTGAAATTGATGTGTTTTGGCCAGTTTGACATTGCTTTTGATCATTCAGTCATCTTGCTTACAGTTACATTAAAAGAGGCACTTGTAGGTCAGAAATATAACATAACTGTTAAATGAAATAACCACAAATGTCTTTTCTGTGCTCACAGCATTATCTGTGGGGTTTTATTCAACCCCCAAGTGACATTCAATCTTAGTACTTAGTACAGCATCCTTTTACAGTTATAACAGCTTCAGAAACGTGAAGCATAGCTTGACACAAGTGTCTTGCAGCGATCTACGGGTATCTTCGCCCATTCTTCATGGGCAAAGGCCTCCAGTTCAGTCACATTCTTAGGCTTGCGCACTGCAACTGCTTTCTTTAAGTCCCACCAGAGGTTCTCAATCGGATTTAAGTCTGGTGACTGCGATGGCCACTCCAAAATGTTCCAGCCTTTCCTCTGCAACCATGCTCTAGTGGACTTGGAGGTATGCTTGGGATCATTGTCCTGTTGAAAGGTCCAACGTCTCCCAAGCCTCAGGTGTGTGACGGACTGCATCACGTTTCCATCCAATATCTCCTGGTACTGAAGAGAATTCATGGTACCTTGCACACGCTGAAGCTTCCCTGTACCTGCAGAAGCAAAACAGCCCCAAAAGCATGATTGACCCTCCACCATGCTTCACAGTAGGCAAGGTGTTCTTTTTCATCATAGGCCTTGTTCTTCCTCCTCCAAACAAGCGTTGATCCATGGGCCCAAACAGTTCTAATTTTGTTTCATCAGTCCACAGAACACTATCCCACAACTTTTGTGGTTTGTCCACATGGCTTTTGGCATACTGCAGTCGACTCTTCTTATTCTTTGGAGACAGCAAGGGGGTACGCCTGGGAGTTCTGGCACGGAGGCCTTCATTACGCAGTGTGCGTCTTATTGTCTGGGCTGAAACTTCTGTACCCACATCTGACAAATCTTTTCTCAGTTCCTCAGCAGTTCCTCTGCAGTCACACGGGGACTTCTCTCCACTCTACGCTTCAGGTAGCGCACAGCAGTCGAAGTCAGCATCTTCTTTCTGCCACGACCAGGTAGCGTTTCAACAGTGCCCTTTGCCTTGAATTTGCGAATGATGCTTCCTAAGGTGTCTCTTGGTATGTTTAACATCTTTGCAATCTTCTTATAGCCATTGCCCTTCCTGTGAAGAGAAATCACCTCTTCTCTTGTCTTCCTGGACCATTCTCTTGCCTTCACCATGTTTGTAACCACACCAGTAAATGTCTAGAAGGAGCTGAGTATCACAGTCATTTTAAAGCTGCCTAATTGGTGCTTATTATGCTTGATTGCTGCTCGGTGACATCCACAGGTGTTTTCAATACCTGATGGAAAGCACCTGTATGAACCTCTGTTCTTCAGAGTGGTAGTCTTTAAGGGGTTGAATAATTGTGGCAATGAAGAAACCACATAAGAACCATTTAAGACTGATGCCTAGAGATGGGGGGGGGGTGTCTCCGACTGCCAAGTGAGCTGCAATGGGGACACCTACAGTGTGTCAGGACAGTATTCAAGTTCTCAGAAAGACAAGGTTGCTACAAGTGTTACAATTGTAATGTATGCAACTCATTGATCTGTGGGGGGGAATATTTCACCCCCCCCCACAGTGGGAAACGTTACCAGATACAGGGTTTCCTGAACTGTAACACCGATCACTGCGTTTATATTCTGAAATGCCCGGCTCACTAGTTTTATGTGGGGAAAACGTTTGGTCCCTTTAAGCGGAGATTTCAGAATCACAGGAGTGACATGAGGACAGCTCTAGTCAAGAGTACCAAAGGTGAACCCATTGATTTGAGCAAACCCGTAGCAGTCCATTTTATTTCGGCAGGACACCAGGGAATGAATTGAGGGGCATGACCATCGAACACGTCAGTCGATCGGCGAGAGGAGGAGATCGTGACAACTTCATCCTCCGTCATGAAGCTGATTGGATCCATAACCTGGACACAACACAACCGAGGGGACTTAATGCTAACACATCATATTTGTGGTTTTTGGATCGCAGATGAACTTTGGTTCGGATGATTCCTCATGATTGAAGTGTATATAGTTTTGTAGATAACTTTTGGTTTGGATTTTTCACATTCGCACTATTCACAGCGGTCTCTCTCCTTCTCTCTGCAAGCTGGTGAGCTGCCTCACCTACACATTCCTTCTTTTCCATTTTATCACTCCCTTTTCTTCCACCTCTCCCCAGCTCCATTCATGGACTGATTATCATCATTCTCAGGGCCGGTTCGCACTATGAAGACATAGTAGAGATGCGTTCCAGATGCGTTTTTGCCTGTGCGTTTTGACATGGTTTTTAGCACATCTGGTGCGTTTTTGATGCTTTTTATGCATTCTAGTCTGTTTTTTTCCCCCCCTCTCTGTTTTTCAATTTAGATGGGAATGTGTGCTACGGTGCATTTTTGGTGCGTTTTGATGCGTTTTGCCGCGTTCCAGTGCAGCTCTGTATGAGTGAGATGCGTCCTGTTCTGCTTTTTATCTGCAGCTGGAACACACTGGAACTGCGAGCGCTGGTGTGAACTATGACATTGACCGCCATGTACAGTATACTACTTTATCTTTGGATGCAGATGGAGGGTAACTGAAACGCATGTGGTGTGAACTGGCCCTCAATCTGTTTCCTTTCTGTTCTTCTTTTTCTTCACAGCTCATCTCTGCAACCCCGCCCCCACCCATCCATTGGTTTGTGTGGCGTCGGTGCCATGTGTTTCTATACGACGCCGGTAACTTACCTCCGCCTTGTCCTTCCCGGCACCGACGTCATGGGTTTCCATGATAATGGCGGTCGGTGCAGGAATGTCTTTGAGCGCATGCGTGAGTAGTGAACTCTCATGGTGCATGCAGGTGACATGTGTCGCTATGAAACTGTCGGCCGCTGCACTAATAGGACCACTGTAGGTGTCCCCATTGCAGCTCACTTGGCAGTCGGAGAGACACCCCCCCCACATCTCTAGGCATCAGTCTTTATCTTCTGTCAGGACATATATGCTGCTGGTCGTTGTTTCCAGAACCCAGCGCTGCTTTCAGCTGACACTTTATTCCAATCGGGGAGTACCATGATCCACATGTGACCACCATGTTTATATCCCCGGGAATGCAGTTTATGTACATCTGATGATTGTTTGTTTTATTTATTTTCTCAGTTTGTAATGTTTCTGTTTCCATTGATTTGAATACATTTTTGGAGGGAACATGACATCATGGGGCGGGGCCAAGCTCATTTCACTTCACTCTGATTGGTGGATGGTTTTCTTAAATAGTTCTCCAGTTTCTATCACAATTTGTCACATGCCTGATGAAGGGGTCCTGCGAGACTCGAAACGTTGCCTTGCTGTAACTATGTGATGGTTTATTAAAACCTTTGGACCCGTATTGGTGATCCTCGGTGTGCTGGGGACATTTTATCCTCGCTGATTTTGTTCAGTTCCAGCCGATGGTCGCTGCAGCACCCACTTATACACACCGCCATTTTTAACACAGGAACGTGTGCGTTTGGATTGTACACTTACAATATAACTGGAGACAATACAGCAACAATACAGTTCAATACAAGAGGGATAGGAGGGCCTGATCCTGGGAGCTTACAAGGAGGGAGGGGCTAGTGGTACAAAAGGTAGTAACTGTGGGGGATGGACTGGTAGGAGGAGTAGAAGATTCCATTATTAGCTGAGGGCAGGATAGGCTTCCCTGAAGAGATAGTTTTTCAGAGATCGCCTAAAAGTGAGCAGAGTAGGCGATAGTCTGATAAATTGGGGTAGAGAGTTGCAGAGGATGGGGGAAGCTCTGGAGAAGTCCTGGAGACAAGCATGGGAGGAGGAGACAAGCATGGGGGAGAAGGAGGCAAGGAAGCTAGAGAACATGAGGTCGTGGGAGGAGCGGAGAGTACAGTTTGGGTGATATTTGGAGACAAGATTGCTGATGTAATTTGGGGCAGAGTTATAAATGGCTTTATATGTTATTGTTAATGTTTTGACTTTTATCCGTTGGGCAACGGGAAGCCAGTGGAGGGATTGGAAGAGGGGTGGAGGACACTGAGTGGAGGAGGGAGTGGAGGGATGGGGATTGGAGAGAGGGGAGGAGGACACTGAGTGGAGGCCAGTGGAGGGATTGGCAGAGAGGGGTGGAGGACACTGAGTGGAGGACAGTGGAGGGATTGGCAGAGAGGGGTGGAGGACACTGAGTGGAGGCCAGTGGAGGGTTGGCAGAGAGGGGGGTGAGGACACTGAGTGGAGGCCAGTGGAGGGATTGGCAGAGAGGGGGGGAGGAGGACACTGGAGTGGAGGCCAGTGGAGGGATTGGCAGAGAGGGGGGAGGACACTGAGTGGAGGCCAGTGGAGGGATTGGAAGAGAGGGGTGGAGGACACTGAGTGGAGGCCAGTGGAGGGATTGGCAGAGAGGGGTGGAGGACACTGAGTGGAGGCCAGTGGAGGGATTGGCAGAGAGGGGTGGAGGACACTGAGTGGAGGCCAGTGGAGGGATTGGCAGAGAGGGGTGGAAGGACACTGAGTGGAGGCCAGTGGAGGGATTGGCAGAGAGGGGTGGGGGTGAATGGCCAGTGGAGGGATTGGCAGAGAGGGGTGGCAGATACAGAATGGTTAGTAAGGTGGATGAATCTGGGAGCAGCATTCATGAAAGACTGAAGAGTTGATAGCCTGCGATCAGATCAGCCAATGAGGAGGGAGTTACAATAGTCAAGGTGAGATATAACAAGGGAGTGAATAAGTTGCTTAGTAGTTTCCGAGGTTAGGAACGGCCGCCGTATCTTGGAGATGTTGTGGAGGTGAAGTCTACAAGATTTGGACAGTGATTGGATTTGGGGGTGAAAGGACAGATTGAAGTCTAGGATTACACCCAGTACCCTGGCATGAGGGGAGTAACTGATGGTTGTGTTATTGATCTTGATGGAGAAGTCAGGGGAGGGGGGGGCTGGGGGGAATACTAAGAGCTCAGTTTTGATTGAAAGATTGAGTTTGAGGAAGTGGAGTGACATCCATGCCGATATGTCACTTAGTAGGTTAGTAATGCGAGAGAGGAGACTGAAGGGGTGAGGTGAGGGGTAGAGAGATAGATTTGTGTGTCATCAGCATAGAGATGGTACTTAAAGCCGTGGGAGTTTATCAAGTAACCAAGGGAGGAGGTGTAGATGGAGAAGAGTAGGGGTCCAAGAACGGAACCTTGAGGGACCCCTACAGAAAGAGGGAGTGAAAAAGGAGAGGCAGCATTATAGGTAATGCTAAAGGAGTGCTGCGATAGGTAGGAGGAGAACCAGGAGAGAGCAGGGTCTTGGAGGAGCAGAGTGGATTTTTTTTTTTGAGAGGAGGAGGGATGGTCAACCGTATCAAAAGCAGAGAGGAGTGGGTGGGAGTAGTAGGCCAGGGGATGGTACGGAGTAGTGGCCACAGCTGGCAGAGTAGAGTAGTGGTATTCTGGGATGACGGAGTAGTGGCCATTGGCTGGGATGAGTACGGAGTAGTGGCCATTGGTTGGGATGAGTACGGAGTAGTGGCCATTGGTTGGGATGAGTACGGAGTAGTGGCCATTGGTTGGGATGAGTACGGAGTAGTGGCCATTGGTTGGATGAGTGAGTACGGAGTAGTGGCCATTGGTTGGGATGAGTACGGAGTAGTGGCCATTGGTTGGGATGAGTACGGAGTAGTGGCCATTGGTTGGGATGAGTACGGAGTAGTGGCCATTGGTTGGGATGAGTACAGGTAGTGGCCATTGGTTGGGATGAGTACGCAGTAGTGGCCATTGGTTGGGATGAGTACGGAGTAGTGGCCATTGGTTGGGATGAGTAGAGTAGTGGCCATTGGTTGGGATGAGTACGGAGTAGTGGCCATTGGTTGGGATGAGTACGAGAGTAGTGGCCATTGGTTGGGATGAGTACGGAGTAGTGGCCATGGTGGATGAGTTGGTAGTGGCCACAGTGGGACAGTACGGGAGTAGTGGCCATTGGTTTTAGCAGTTAGTAGATCATTAGTGAGGTTTAGTAGGGCAGTGTCAGTGGAGTCTAGTGTAGAGAGAAAGCCAGACTGTAAAGGGTCAGGAAGGTTGTTGTCGGTGAGAGGTGGGAGCTCAGGCGATTGTAGACTAAGCGTTCTAGGAGTTTAGAGGTAAATGGCAGCAGGGAGATGGGTCTTAAGTAAGTTGTTCTGGTTGGTGGGGTCCAGGGAGGGCTTGTTAAGCATGGGATGGGAGTGATGTGCATGCTTTAGGGGGGGGGAAGGCACCATTAGAGAGAGAGAGAGGAAGAAGAGTGAGGGAGGGAGTAGGATGGAAGAAGAGGGTGACTGTAGTAGTTGGAGGGGACAGGATCCAGGGGGCAGGTAGTGAGACGGGCTTCTGAGAAAACCTTAATGACCTCTTCAGTAGTAGAAAGGTCAAAAGAGGAAAGTGTTGGGGGAGGTTTAGTATAAGGTATGCTAAGTGGGTGGGATGGATGTCTGTGCAGTGGATCCCCCCCTACGAATTGCATCAATCTTATTTTTGGGAATCCTCTGCAATGTGTTAGTGCTGCTGGGCCAGTTCAGCCGTGTTACATTGTCTGGTTACCACCTTGTCAGAACGTTTCTACCTACACAATACACGTTACTGCAATCTCTGGTCTCCATGTGTATTCTCTCCTCTCTGGGGTGCCAATCACCTGGCCCGCCCCACAGATGTGTACAGCAGGCGGGGTGGAAAGACATGGGCAGTGGTTTACTAAAGGAAAATACCCTCATTTTCCCCAGAGCTTAGTGAATGTGGTGAAGCTTCACTTTGTAAAAAGCATCCAATCAGGTGCAAGGAAAATAATCCCAGCATGCAGTGGTAATTTCATCGACAAAAACATTTTCACCCATAATTTTCCTCAGCGGCATTTTTCCAATGATGAAAACAAAAATGCAAATGACCCGACATATTCATCAATGGAGGAAAACTATGAGGAAAATCAATTTATTTTTCACCAATGAATGAAAAGGTAATGAAAATGTGAGGGAGGGACATTTACCTATGGGGACTTCCGGGGTCCTTGGAGCTCCACCTGTAAAACCTGAGTGAGTGCTGCCCCTCCCAGCAAGCAAGGTATTGACTGTAGTGTGTCTAGTGGTGTGTGCATTCAGGACCTCCCCAGACCACCAGAGCATTGTGTGTGCATGTGTGCATTCAGGACCTCACTTCACCACCAGAGAACTTTGTGCATTACAGGACTCCTCAGACCACCATCCCAGAGCACTGTGTGCGTTATGCATTCAGGCCTCTTCAGACCACCCAGAGAACTGTGTGCATTACAGGCCTCCTCAGACCACTGTCTAAAGTACCACCTGAACTGTAATGCACAGTGCTCTGGATGGTGATCTGAGGTGCATTTCATGCACACAGTGCTCACAGTGCTCTGGACGGTGGTTGGAGGAGGCCTGTAATACACACAGAGCTCTGGTGGCCATCTGAGGAGGCCTGTCAGACACACAGAGCACTGGATGGTCATCTGAGGAGGCCTGTAATGCACACAGTGCTCTGGATGGTCATCTGAGGAGGCCTGTAATGCACACAGTGCTCTCAGTGCATCTGAGGAGGCCTGTAATGCACACAGTGCTCTGGATGGTGGTCTGAGGAGGGCCTGTAATACACACAGTGCTCTGGATGGTCATCTGAGGAGGCCTGTAATGCACACAGTGCTCTGGATGGTCATCTGAGGAGGCCTGTAATGCACACAGTGCTCTGGATGGTGGTGGTCTCTGAGGAGGCCTGTAATGCACACAGTGCTCTGGATGGTGGTCTGAGGAGGCCTGTAATGCACACAGTGTTCTGGATGGTCATCTGAGGAGGCCTGTAATGCACACAGTGCTCTGGATGGTCTGAGGAGGCCTGTAATGCACACAGTGCTCTGGATGGTCATCTGAGGAGGCCTGTAATGCACACAGTGCTCTGGATGGTCATCTGAGGAGGCCTGTAATGCACACAGTGCTCTGGATGGTCATCTGAGGAGGCCTGTAATGCACACAGTGCTCTGGATGGTCATCTGAGGAGGCCTGTAATGCACACAGTGCTCTGGATGGTCATCTGAGGAGGCCTGTAATGCACACAGTGCTCTGGATGGTCATCTGAGGAGGCCTGTAATGCACACAGTGCTCTCGGTGGTCTGAGGAGGCCTGTAATGCACACAGTGCTCTGGATGGTCATCTGAGGAGGCCTGTAATGCACACAGTGCTCTGGATGGTCATCTGAGGAGGCCTGTAATGCACACAGTGCTCTGGATGGTCATCTGAGGAGGCCTGTAATGCACACAGTGCTCTGGATGGTCATCTGAGGAGGCCTGTAATGCACACAGTGCTCTGGATGGTCATCTGAGGAGGCCTGTAATGCACACAGTGCTCTGGATGGGTCTGAGGAGGCCTGTAATGCACACAGTGCTCTGGATGGTCATCTGAGGAGGCCTGTAATGCACACAGTGCTCTGGATGGTCATCTGAGGAGGCCTGTAATGCACACAGTGCTCTGGATGGTGGTCTGAGGAGGCCTGTAATGCACACAGTGCTCCTGGATGGGTCATCTGAGGAGGCCTGTAATGCACACAGTGCTCTGGATGGTCATCTGAGGAGGCCTGTAATGCACACAGTGCTCTGGATGGTCATCTGAGGAGGCCTGTAATGCACACAGTGTGCTCTGGATGGTCATCTGAGGAGGCCTGTAATGCACACAGTGCTCTGGGATGGTCATCTGAGGAGGCCTGTAATGCACACAGTGCTCTGGATGGTCATCTGAGGAGGCCTGTAATGCACACAGTGCTAAGCACCCCACACCACAAGCATAAGCATGCTACAGTCACTACCTTGCTTGCTGGGAGGGGAAGCCCTCACAGGCTTTACAGACGGAGCTCCAAACTGGAAACTGGAAGTCCACGTGGGTAAACATCCCTCCCTCACATTTTCATTCCGTTTTCGTTTGTTGATGAAAATGGAATTGTTTTTCCTCATAGTTTTCATCAATTGACATAAATATGGGGTCATTTTCATTTCATTTCCGTCACTGGAGATATGCCGCTCATGAGAATTATGACACAAATGTTTTTGTGGATGAAATGAACACTGCTGGACTGGAGTAAGCTGCCTCCCTGTATAGAAAACCTTCAGCACAATAAATGCCTCCTAATGAATGTGCAGCTAGCATGTGATGTGTTCCCACATATAACAAAGTCCAATAGTAATAAAATGCAGCGCAGCAATGAGATGAATAGAATGGCGCTTGTTGTGTTACCTGCATCCTCCTAAGTGCGTCTTTCAGTAGTGACAATCAGGAACACTCTTCTGTGCTTGTGATGGTCAATATATGCTACTCATCATCTATTCCGATAAGTACATATAAACCCCATAAATTCTAGAACATCAGCAGTGCTTTGTGATAGAAATACAACAGAAATGCTGCAACTTCATACAATGGCAGTTATAGTGATCTGTCCCTTTAAATCGGCAGTACCTTCCCGTGGAGCGGTGTTGTCACACTGCTGTATACCAGTGTCCGGTGCTCCTGTATCCCCCCTCAGTGCTCTTCCACCTCCAACACACTTCTGCGCTCACCTCCAAGTTGGACCCATAATGACGGGTCAGACTGGACTTTTCCCTTGTATCCCGGGTAGGTATCATGGTACCCAGATCTTCCCACTCTCTGCCGGCACTTTTATGTAGATCCAATCCACTCCGCATTCATGTAGAAAACGCTGAATATAGTGTAGTATGTCTACCAGAAATAGCCTTTATTTCACCCAATATGTATCCACTGACATTACAATGTGTCCTCCTGGGACCCCGCGGGGTTAAACACTCCCTATACCGAGCTCCAAGCACAATGTATGCTGGAATCCCTCTTTCAGAAGGTAAATCCATTGAGTTCCCCATCCAGACTCCC